ATAATTTTGGTATAGTAGTTGTGACTTATTCACACTATATACATTTGGCTTCCGCAACAGTAACTATTCTTTTTTGGAAATAATAATAAAAGAGCACAATTACAATTCAAAGGCGATCCTAACTATCTAGAGGTTGATAAGCTTTAGTTCAAGGTCTGGGCACGGGACTAATTGAACTTCTGCTATTTGACGTGTCATCAAAAATAGTCAGGGTTAATCTCGCGAATTTGAACCCACAGTATTCAAATTCTGGATCCTTTCTGCACAACGAGTAAAGACGGAACGCTATTTGTATAAGATAAAAGTCCAATACAACGTGCTTCGAAAGAAGCAAATATGCTTCATATTTTGTCGCTCGCACAAAAATATTTACAACGCCTAACAAATATACATATATTATATACTAATTATGCATATATTATATATTTGCCAACTATTTTATCGGACATGCGGCTATTTAAGTTGATTTCTCTTAAACAAACTTATGATGTTATGTGCAAAGCATTATTACACCATTAGTGCAATTTAAACTTAAACCAATTAGCAGGATTGACGACAAAATTGGGCCAAAATTATACATTTGTGAAAGGCCCAATTCCAAGTTTCATTCCCTCTCTTTACTTTTCTTTGGAAAAATGACACTGTATAGCCGCTGTAAAAATAATAGCCGAAAAGTTATATAAAATTTATATATTTTTTGTATATATATACATTATGTAAATTATATATAAAAATTATACAAATTTTATACAAATTTTCAGCTACAAGATATAATTAGTTTCTGACACGGACTAAAAGTGATAATACCCCATTTTCTTTTGCCAAATCCCCTATTTGTCTACACGGCCCATTTAGCTAAACACATTTATCAAAATGTTCACCTTAACCCTTCCTTAACTAACCTATTTTACTTGCCTAACAAATTCTTATTAAGTACTAGTAGGTTTTATCGGAGCTAGCTCCTCGCTTTCGATCAAAAAGAGCATGCGAGACTTCGAAGAGACATTCAAAGTAGGTTCAGACAACACAACAAAAATTTGCGCGTGGAGAAGATAACGACAACATAAATCATCGATCAGAGTTATTTCTACAACAAACCACTTCCATCACATGTATCTGAAGTAACACTGTCTTCACTCCAGCAATAACAATTTGAGCTATTTTGAATTATTAATTATGGTGACTTGTAGTATTTTTTACGAAGTTTTCAAATATATAAATTTTATTTCAAATAATTTAAAGATTTTATGTCTGAATTCATATTAAAATTAAGAAGTAATTTGGTTCTCTAAATCCGTAGACCGCTACATTAATTGGGACAGATTCATAAGTATATAATACTCACAAGTGTTCTTTTGTGATAAGCGGAAAGCAGATAATGGAACCTAAATTGAAGAAGGAACCTGTCAAGAAGCATAAAACAAAAGAATACGCAGAGTTACACCACTATATATGATTATTACAACACTAATTAAGACATCAGCCATATTAATGAAATGAAGAGAAGCATAGTAGTGCAGAGTATTGGACATTAGCACTAACTGTAATTAGCTGGCATAATTAGAAGTTACAAATCTGTTTTAGAGTTAGTTAATAGTCATGTGATGTGCACGTGTGTGAGTGTATATAAGCTGTGTATCAGCTCCATTTGCAGATTAAATGAAACAGTTTCCTTTCTTCTTCTCTCACACGATTTCTTCCTCCTTAAGAAATGCACAACAATTCAGATTGCGTGGCTCAATTTCACATGGTATCAGAGTGTGTAAATTGAGGACAACACATGCACTGAAAGAGATCGAGATTTACAGAAGAATACAAAGCATAATTTGTGTGTTTTCCTAGCTGATTGCAGAGATAACAACACTCGATTTCCAGCAAAAATGACAGGAAATGAGGTTACTTCACTATATCACAACCATCCGTTGTATCTTCAACCTGGAGATGCGCCTGGACTTATCCTAATACAGCTGAAGCTCACAGGACCATACAATTACGCTTTGTGGAGTAGAGCGATGAAATTAGCTCTTCGATGCAAAGGAAAACTAGGTTTTGTGGATGGAACCTGTGTCAAAAGCATGTATAAGGGAGAGTTAGCAGAGCAATGGGAGAAGTGTAACACTATTGTTCTGTCATGGATAGAAAGCACTGTTGCGGAGGAATTGATGGCCAGTATTGTGTATGCGTCTAATTCTAAGAAGGTGTGGAGTGAATTTGAAGAGAGATTTGATAGATCGAATTTAACTAGGATATTTCATTTGTGGACTGAAATTGCCACTTTGGGATGAATTAGATGTCTTAGCTCTACTTCCTTCCCGTGATTGTGAAGAATCCCTGCCTTATGTAGTGCATTTGAGATCATAGAGATTACTGCAGTTCCTTATTGGACTTAATGAATCCTATAGTAATCTAAGAAGTAATCTACTGGCAAGGAGGCCTATATTGTCTGTAAATGAAGCCTATGCAACTGTTTCTCAGGAAGAAAACCAAATATTGCTAGGTGTGGTAGATGTTAACAATGAGTCATTGACAATGTTGGCAGGGAGAACTTACCAAGGTTTTAAGCCTAAGAAACCTAGAGTTGGTATGATCTGTGAGCATTGCGGGTATACGGGACATTTGAAGGAAAACTGTTACAAAATTGTTGGTTACCCATAGGATTTTAAGAGCAAAAAGAAGGGATCACAAACTAATGGATTCAGACCTTTTGCCAATTCCACAGTAGCAAGAGAAAACTTGAAGTCATCAGAGCACAAGATCACTTCTTTACTAACCAACAATACAAGCAGATACTGGATATGCTAAACAAGCCAACATCTAGTGACAATGCTGATAACATAACAGGTAACATGGCAGGTATGACCTCACTGCTATCCAATAACTTTACTAGTGAATGCATAATAGATACAGGGGCATCTCACCACATTACACCATACAAGGAGTTGCTGACCACCTTTAGAACTTTAAGGGATCAAAATAATAGTAGAGTACAGGTTCCTATAGGTGGTAGAGCAGAAATCACAAGTATAAGAGATACAGTGATTTTGGGAAGCTACAAGCTTGAGAATGTACTTCATGTGCCAGATTTTAAGTTTAATCTGCTTTCAGTGTCCAAGATAACCAAACAACTTTGTTGTGTGGCTTTGTTCTTTCCTGATTTTTGTGTGTTCCAAGGACTCTTCAATGGGAAGGTTCTAGAGATTGGTAAAGAAAAGGAAGGGTTGTACATACTACAAGAAATAATAAAACCTGCAATTGGAGCGTGCATAAGGATGATGATTGTGGGAAGCTATGGCATTGAAGACTTGGGCATCCTTCTATTGGAGCAATGCAACATATTGCAGATGTAAAAAATAAACTAGATGTTGAACTGTTAAGCTGCTGTGAAATTTGCCCTTTGGCAAAGCAAAGTAGGCTAAAGTTTCATGTTAGTGACAGTAGATAAAACTGTGTTTTTCAATTGATGCATCTAGATGTGTGGGGCCCTTACAGAAGACCTACATATGATAAAATATACTATTTTGTTACCATAGTCGATGATTACAGTAGATATACTTGGATATATCTGATCCAATCTAAATGTGAAGTGATTGTAGTGTTGAAGAACTTCTTTGCCTTAATAAAGAATTAGTTTGATAAAACTGTTAAGATCCTTAGATCAGATAATGGTAGTGAGTTCTTTAACTCAAAATGTGATGAACTTTTATCTTTTTATGGTATAATTCATCAAAGCAGTTGTCCATACACTCCACAACAAAATTGAGTTATGGAGAGAAAGCACAGACACATACTAGAGGTATCTAGAGCTTTGGCATTTCAGAGTTCAATACCTATAAAGTTTTGGGGAGATTGTGTGAGGACTACTGTATATCTAATCAATCGACTTCCATCAAAGGTGTTGAGAGGAAAAATACCATTTGAGTTGTTGCACGGCAAGCTTCCACAACTATCTCATCTAAGGTTTTTTGGATGTCTCTGCTATACTAGCAGGTTGCCTAGAGGTGATAAGTTCACATCAAGGGTCAGGAAGACAGTCTTTGTGGGCTATTCAGAAACACAAAAAGGTTACAAGTTGTATGAACTTAAAGATCATCAGGTGTTCATTAGCAGGGATGTTCAGTTCAAGGAATATCTATTTCCTTTTAAAACTGAAACTGCAGAAGATTTAAGTGACATTTTCTTGTTTAAAACCACTACAGATGCAGGTGTCATTCAGCTACTTATAGGAGAGGCTTATGATCAATACCAACATAGTGCAGAACCACAACTTGAACCTGCAAAATCACCTTCTGAATCAACAGACACTGCTCCTGCAATGGACACTTCACCAGTTCCTGCACCAGTATTGGACACAGATGTTGGGATGGATCACCAACAAGACCTTGAAACGCCTACACCTCCTGGATCAGATCAAGCTGAGCTACAACCAATGGAATTAACACCTAAAGCAGCCCAACAACATGAAGAAGGGGGGCCTGTTCATGGTAGGCCAAGCAGAACAATTAGACCACCAATTTGGCTCAATTACATTGCTACTGGAAAATCAAAGGTCCACTACTTTTATACTATATCCAACCATATCAACTACACTCATCTTCATCCCAACTATCAAGCTTACTTGGGATTTTTGTTTGTATCAACTGAGCCTAAGTCATTCAAGGAAGCCTCTCAAGATCACAATTGGATTTTAGCTATGCAATAGGAGATTGATATTGTACTGGAAGGAAACAAAACTTGGGAGTTTGTTCCATTGCCTAATGGAAAGCAGACTATAGGCTCAAAGTGGATCTATAAGATTAAATACAAATCAAATGATGAGATTGACAAGTACAAAGCACGACTAGTAGCAAAGGGATACACACAAACAGAGGGTTTAGACTATCATGAAACCTTCTCTCCCATTGCAAAAATGGTCATAGTCCGAACAGTCATCAGTGTGGCAGCTTCAAAGAACTGGTGCTTATACCAAATGGATGTCAATAATGTGTTTCTTCAAGGGGATTTATATGAAGAAGTTTATATGGATTTTCCTCAAGGCTTTCGCATGCAAGGGGAGTATAGGGTATGTAAGCTCTTGAAATCTTTGTATGGTGTCAAACAAGCGTCGAGACAATGGAATATCAAGCTCACTTCTGTTTTGGTGGAAGCAGGATATTGTCAAAGCCCCCATGATCACTCATTATTCACTAGAGGGAAATAAGATAATATAGTGATCATTTTAATCTATGTTGATGATCTTCTTATTACTGGGAACAACAAGCACCTTATTGAAGAAGCAAAATAAACTCTGCATAACAATTTCAAAGTCAAAGATCTTGGAGAACTCAAGTATTTCCTAGGAATTGAAGTGTTGAGGTCAAAACAAGGCATACTTTTCAATTAGAGGAAGTATGCTTTAAAACTGATCTCGACTTAGTGGTGCAAAACCAGCTTCGACACCAATTGAAGCAAACACAAGACTCACGATTGTCAAATTTGACAGATTTACTGGAACAACTGATGATCTTGTGCTTGAAGAAATGTCAGGTTATCAAAAATTGGTAGGTAAGCTGATTTATCTTACTATCACACGCCCAGACATTTGCTTCCCTGTTCAGGTCCTTAGCCTATTAAAGCAGCAGCCCAAAAAATCACACTGGGAAGCTGCCTTGAGGGTGATGAGATATATTAAAAGCAGCCTTGGTTTAGGGATTTCTCAGTCATAGGCCAGCCACTCAATTGACTGCCTATTGTGACTCTAAGTGGGCCGTATGCCCCAATACTAGACGATTAGTCATAGAGTATGTTATAAAGCTAGGTGATTCACTAGTCTCATGGAATGCAAAGAAGCAACACACAGTCAGTCGCAGCTCAGCTGAAACTGAATATCGAAGTATGGCAGCCAGTGTGGCTGAAATTGTATGGCTAGTTGGGTTACTGCAAGACTTAGGTGTGATCGTTTCTAAACCAATTCAACTTCACTGTGATAGCAAAGCCGCCATCCAGATTGCCGCCAACCCCACTTTTCATGAGCGTACTAAACATATAGATATTGATTGTCATTTCGTTCGATAAAAGGTGAAGGAATGGCTTATTGAAACCAACTACATTGCCACACAGTCTCAACTTGTAGATCTTCTCACAAAAGGTTTGGGAGCCAGTCAACATCACCTTCTCTATCCAAGCTAGGAGTGCTCAATGTCTTTCACCCTCCAGCTTTAGGGGGAGTAATGAAATGAAGAGAAGCAGAAGCAGAGTAGTGCAAAGTACTGGACATTAGCACTAACTGTAATTAGCTGGAATTATCTGGCATAGTTAGAAGCTACAAATCTGTTTTAGAGTTAGTTGATAGTCATGTGATGTGCACGTGTGTGAGTGTATATAAGCTGTGTATCAGCTCTATGTGCAGATTGAATGAAACAGTTTCCTTTCTTCTTCTCTCACACGATTTCTTCCTCCCTAAGAAATGCACAACAATTCAGATTGCATGGCTCAATTTCACACATATAAATATGGTTTACATAATAAATCACTTAATTAGCGCGAGATTATCATTGATAAACATCAACAATTGAGTTTGTGTTCACAATGATAAAGAGTACAATAATAATATAAAATTTGATGTAAACAAGGAAAAGCGAAACTTTAGCTAGACATAACTCTTAAGCAAAGATCTCAAAATAAAAGTTTACTATTCTAAAATATTCCTAGACGATTTGCCTCCCTGTGGAACAGCATCTTCGCTGCCTGAACTGCAACCTCTTCGGTCGGGAGACACGTTTCACTAATCGTTAACTTCCGCGTATATATGTCATACACACAGAGAGATTTCTTGTCTTGTCAAATATAGACTTGTCAACACAAGTAAAAAATGTAAATAACTCCTTGTTATCTGGTTTCAAGAATGTCAGCTTGATAATCCGCTCAGCCCATTTCAAGTTTCGGTGATCGTTTAACACCAAGATGAAGAGCTCGTCTTTCACTAGTTGAGCGAATGAGAGCCGTCCATTCCAATCCAAGAGAATAGTGCTGCACAAGCTCAACTTTGAGAAGCAACCACAACTAGGGAAAGTAGTATGACCAATGTAGCTCTCGTTAACCATATCCAAAACATCAACTTCAATATCAAGACCATCATCCTCCGTTTCAACATACCAAATGCAATAAGCAACCTTCCTTCCAAAGAAAACCTCAATTCGCTTCCTCTTTCCACTTAGTTCACTGTTCTGCTTCTGCAAGTTATGCGGTGGTGGTACCTTAACGGCTCGCCAAGTATAAGCACTCTGATAAATCACAATCCCAAGAGCGAGAATTTCATAACCGAATGAATATTCATCTTCATGAACAGAAACCAACTTAACAGCTTGGCTAGATTGAACAAACTCCAAGGCCATGCAAATACTAGGATTTTGTGGATTGGGGATTGCAATACTTTGGAGCGACTTACGGCACCATACACGGTATCTCAAAGGAGAAGAAACACTAGAAGTTTCCTCCAGATATAAGCCTTGACTACTCCGACTAACTGTGGTTAAGGGAACTGTAGACCAAGCCTCCACATCCTGCAAACGCAAACCACGTAATTGACGAAAGTAGGAGAAATGAGGATGCAGAAATAGGGTTTGGGAAAATTGGGTAAGAACGGGTTTTGGAAAGGTAGGTGAAGTACTGGAGTGGAGTTTTAAGTTATAAAAACTGAACTTCAGCATAATACTTTGAAGCTCCTAAAAAATAGAAAAACAGCAGAAATTTAATATTATGAAAAATAGCTAAATGTCCATTAATTTTGAAATTATAACTTATTTTCAAATAGCAATGATAGAAATGGTTTTTTATTTAGTTTTGCACTTCCAAGAGCGACACCAACCAAGTGAGGATTGGTGTTAAAGAAAATCTTTAGGACAATGCTCTAGAGTTGTAAAAATTAAACTTCTGTACATTATCCTGAAGAGCGTATTTTTAAGTTGGGAAGATTTTATTTCTCAGGTCAAAAATTAGTTAAACTGACTTATATTCAAATATCAAATCAATCAACCATTTAGCTGGAGCAACAATGCAACCTCTTTCTCTCATAGTTTCACCAAAAAAAGAAAAGAAAGGCTCAAGGTCACTTGTTCGAACCAATAACTCTAGGTTCGAATTGAGACTTGTTGGCCACTAAATTATCTCTTTGGGAAAATCTGAAAAAATGCAACGATATAACTGCTCAAAATTTCATCGAACTGCATGTCATGATCATATCTTTATACATTTTATCCAGAGCTATACCAGTGACAGCCGCCACGAAAAACTGCATGCCAAGACGACGAAGGACAAGATTGAGAGTGGACCTTTTCTGGATGTTGTAGTGGTAAAGAGTGCATTCACCCTC